AAAAATTAAAAAAGGTTTAGTAGGTGAACAGATTGAGGAATGTTTTTATGGGTTTGACAAATAGAATTAGCCAATTGGAACAGTAATTTGGTTTTGGTGGTTGCATGGAAGACGACTTTCTTTACTATATTTGGTGGTAGCTTCTTGAGTGGCTAGTGGGATAGCAACGTCGATCTTTTGGACTTTAATGTCATTTTCAAATACATTATTTAATAAGTTTATTTTATTAAAAAATTTTAACATTTGTGACATATCCAGATAATTTCTAAATTGTGATTGGTGGATTGGGTTGGAATTTTTTTTGGTGAACTTTATTCATTATTTCATTTTCATTAATATTAAAAATTTTAGGTGGGAAAAAAAGAAATAAGGACCTTGTGGTTGTGGTAAGGTAGTTTTGTCTTTTAGTGTACAGCTAATTTAACTCTCCAACTAGAATAATGATATTCAAATTGAAAAACACATATTCTGAAATTTATAATATTCCACTTTTATATATATATATATATATTTTATTTTGTAATAGGGCGATTAAATATATGGTAGGCCAACGTTAAAACCTCTGAAGCATTTTGGATTTACAAGATTTTTTAACTCGAATTTTACTCCTCTTTGCATAAGAAAAATCATGGGAAAAAAAATTCATCTTTTACTATCGTAATTTACTGAGTTAATTTATACTCCAAGATTTTAATTTAACGAAATTCAATCTTAAATTTGAATAAGAGGTGAAATTAATATCTACGACTAGTTAAAATTTTAGGTCACGTGTGAGCTAGTAGTATATAATTTTGATTTTACAAATTATTTTTATAGGCGTTGTTACTGAATTCTGATCACGCAATGGACTAAATATAAGAAAGACTTGTAAAAAGAAAGACTTTGATGGAAAACGACACTCATCTACTTTAATTTTATTCCCACACTCTTAATTTTTTCTTCCCATTTGGAAAATTTCCAATCACATGGAAACATAGCCTATTATCATTTTCCATTTTATCCTTTCAATTTTACTTATTTTTAGATTTTTATTTTCCAATAAAAACAAAACAATGGAAGAGCAACTTTCATATCAACATTCATAGTTGTTTGGAGTACTTATTTGTCTATGTTATTAATATAGATTAAACCAACCACATAATTTCGTGCAGAAATCTTCTTTTCTAGATTTTATGATTGAGTCGATTTCAATCCTCAAATTATCATCAATAATTGCAAAATTTACTAAACTTTTTTGTGGATCTTGTAGTAATGTTATTGTTTTAAATGAGCTTTATTTCATTGTTTTAAACTATCCATACAGTTAACATATCAGCATTAAATAAAATCTTTGAAAAAAAAAAAGCAAATCGTAATAATATGCTTGAATTAGTTAATTAATTAATTCAAAGCACGTAATCTTCAATATTTATATATTACAGATAAGGTGAAACTATTGAAAGCTAGGTCCTTGAAAGCAACAGGAAGAAATTGGATGTAGTAGGCTAATCTTTTGAAATTGGACCAATTGGGTATTGAAAAAAGAAAGTATATTTTTTATTATTTGTTTATTTTTATTATGTGGTCCTTGGGTTGGATTAATGCAGGGAGAATAAGGTTTAAAGTACAAAAGATTAGAAAAATAGGGGTATAATGTCATGAAGGTAGGGCCTTTAAAATCCTAAAATAATTCTAATTCTTACCCACTAAAGGAAAAAAGATGGAAGAAAATACCCAACTTTTATTTTAGTTTATTTTTAAATAGGCATACATTTTTTTTTAATTTTTATTTTTGAGATTTTACCTTTTAAAAGTCATAAAAAAAAAAGGTAAATAGATTGTGAAATTGAAGGCATCTCAAAGTGTCCAAAAGCTAATGACAAGCCCATGTTCCCAAAAGCTTTAAAAAGAGAGAATGATGAGATTCAGAAAAAAAGAGTGAGAAATCAATAATTTCATTAGACATCACCAAAAGAAGTTCACTAAAGTGGCATCAATGGCTTTGTCCCCATTAGAGCCACAATACACCAAATTGCAAAACAACTCAACACACACAGTTTAGCAAAAGCAAAAATTTTACTAATCTTCCTTTCAAATCATTTTTTTCCATTTCAATCTTTGAGCTTTTGGAAAAAGAAAAGCAAACAAAGAAAAAGAAGCAAGCAACCAATATACTTTGGGCGAAAAAAAAAAAAAAAAACTTGAAAACTTGGGATGTGGGTTACTTGCTACATAATGTTGGTATTTGTTCAAAAGAAAAAAAAAATCTATACCTTTCAAAAGTACATGTAATAATCTAAGGGAATTTTGCAAATTTGTCGAATAAAACTTGCTACCATATTGGAAGAAATTCCATATCAACACATTGGGTGTGAAAGATCAACGACGTTGTTGACTCCCTTACTAGAAGGACAACAACACTTCACTCTGAGCATAACGTAACTTGTCTCTTTTTGACTTTATATTTAAGTTAGAAAATGAACTAGGATAATTGTCTGGCACGTAATACAAAAAATATATATATAAATGAAATTTTATTTTAACATTCATAAAACACTCTAATTTGATAGAATCTTCATTGTTAACAAAAATATTTAGTCTAAAAAGTTGAGCGTATGGTAATTTTCTGAAACACAGAGATTTATAATTTTAAAAATATAATTTATAATGACAGTAAGTAATTTCAACTAATTTTTACAAAAGGAAGAGGATCTCAAAGGTTATAATGGTGTACTTCATTAAAGCTCAAGCATTTGACTCAAAATTTTGTGCAGAAGTTTCAAAATCTTAAATGTCTATGTTTTGTTTTAAATGGAAATGTTGTGAAAAAGAATGAAAGAAATAAAATAGGTTTGTACTTCCCTATTTCAAACAGTTTTTACATGTTCATAGGAATGCTTTGGATTTATACTTTTTTTGTTTTTTAGTATAAATAAAAAATTATAAACAGTTGGAAAAAAAATTGTACTACATATTATAAAAAATACTCATGGGAACAAACTTATATACTAATTTTGTAGAGTTCAAAACAAATTAGATTCTTGCATTAATAAAAAAAACAATAAAACTAAACCAATTTCTAATACAACTTTTTAAAGGCTAAAGAAGTACATTTGAAATTTTAATGTATTAAAAAACAACCTTTCGAAAATTGGAAAATGAAACCTTGCTTAATTCTATTTCAATGAACAGATCTAAAATATATATAATCAGGGCTAAAACGAAATAAGTAAAAAAACGAGGGACCAAACTAAAAAGCTAAAACCGAGTATTTATTTCCTTACCATCCAAATCAAAAGATAAAAAAGGGAAAAAGGGAAAAGAAAAGCTTGTAAATGAAGGGGGCGGTGAAAAATGGTGGGTGAGGTAAAGTAAAGCCAAGGGAAGAAAATTTATTTTCTGTATACCGAACCGGGGCCCAACCGGACCCATGTCGCGGCCTGGATAAACCGGTCCCTAGTCTTGAGGAATGTTGACCGCTTATACGCAAAATGTGACCCGCCCTCACCCTATGCCTATGTCCTCTTTATAACGTTGTCCCTATTTTCTCTAATAATTCATCACATAACCCATACCAAAACCGTAGGTAGGGATGATTTTTGTTTCTTAACCATTATTTATTTTATAATTTAGGACACATCATCTCCATTGGACTAGTTTGTCTACTTCTCGACTTATCTCACGAGACAACTATATGACCCAACGATATTTACTTGTTAAGAAAATTGATATGATGTATTAAGCATAATACTTTATCTTGTGATTGTCATGCTTATCGTTTTTTAGAGTAAGAGAGAGGAATGTAGGAAGGAAGAGAGAAGAGAATTTTTTTTCCATTTTCTTCAAAAAGAAAAGAAAAATTTATCGTGTCTTGAATTAGATTTATTTCCTTTTAAGTCTTTTGCTCTGTTCACTGGTACCAACGATGATTAGACCAATCCATTGTGATTGGATAGGTTAAAATATTATATGTATCACTCAAACTCAAATGCATATACATCTTACTAAGCAACTAAAGACTTTACTTCGTCTTGTGAATCTTCTAACCAAACACTAACGTCATCACCTCTCAAAGTTTAAGGAGTTAGTTGATAGCGAATCTTTTTCATTTCCTTCACATGAGGTTGTAGTTTGAGTCGTGGTAATAAAGCTCTGGATAATATCACTCAAGTACGAATTGAAAACTTTGACCTATAAAAAAGATTATAAATATATTGGTTAGTTGAGCTATATCGAATCTAAATTCAAACTACATTTTAATTATTAAACTTTTGCACTTATTATAAAATAAATGTAGAAGTATACTTCAATTGATCAAATAATTCATATATTTTCTTATCAGGTCGTATATTTCCAAAGCATTACTTTTATTAAAAAAACATTTATTTTAAAGGTTAATGAGGTAGACCAACCGAAGAATTTCGCTCTAGGATGATGATTTAAAAAAATTTGAATTTGATGTACCTACATGATGATGAAAATGACTTTTCAACCAAATATTAAGAAAAAAGAAAAGAGAAAAAAGAAAAAAGAATTCAATATATGCTAAAACGAAACTAATTTGTTGAAGCTCTGAAGCTTCAACTATTGATGTACTTTTTTGATTTGTTACGAGAAACGAGAGTGTACAGAGAGAATTGATTTTAAAATTAAATGGGAAATGAGAATCTCTATAAAAAAATTTGCTTTCTCAACGTCTTCCTAAGAAAGAAGAAAATAAAAGAAAAAATATATATAATTTTAATTTTGGAGAGTGAAATTTTTTTGCTAACACCGTAAATTTTGCCCCGTTCTCGTCCCCACTTTCCCCACATCCGTAAAAGAAAAACTTTGGGGAAATGAAATTTGCGCATTTGCCACGATCGCTTTCGATATCCACGGAAAACGAGGGGCATCTCCCCGATATTCCATAATAGTGGAGGGGTGTATTTGTAATTTCAATGCTTTTCACTTCCTCCAATTAATTTATTAAATAAATTAAAAAAAAAAAAAAAACTACCCACCGCTTCGTCCACGCGACACGTCTCCCTATCTGGCCCATCTCCATGGACCCCAAAACTGCGTGCAATAATTGTCACGCGAGCAAACTGCCAATTTCAGGATAATTACTGCCATGTAGGACTCCACGTGGCTAATATCCTGCCCACTCAGCAACCCCTCTTCGCTCTTTCCCTTATAAAATCCCTCCGACCCGGTTTTCTCCCACTCCATTGCTCGCTGGACCACTTCTACAAACTCTCTCTGCACCAACCTAATCTCATCTTCTCCGGCGACCTCCTCGTCGGAAGATGATTTTTCCGACCACGCTCCCCTTCAGATCCGGACTTACTGTTTCCTTCTCCGATCATCGGCGTCACGTTTTTCACGAAAAACCCCTCAGATAAACCCTAACCCCCCTCTCCCCTTTTCCCTATTAACCAAGCTATTCCATTCTTGCTTCTTGCTCCACCATTTTTACGGGGGTTTCTTCTCCTCCGGACTCTGTGTGTGTATATATTTTGCTGGTGGTTTCTTTAATTCTCTTTTCAATTTCTGCGGGGATAATCTGAGTGTGGATGGATTAGTGGAACGGAAGGGCGACATTGATTCAGGAGCTGTAATTTTGTTCTTCCTTTTTGAGTTTGAAGTTTTGGAGTGGGAGATTCTGAATGTACATGCAATTTCTGATTTCTGCTTTGATTTGGTTTCTGTGAGTCTGTGAATTTCAATGCCAGTCCGTGTTTGTCGTCAGTCTCTGGAAATGAAGCAGCAGACAGGAGAGATTCAGTAAGCGTAGTCATAAGAGTTTCTTTTTCTTTTCTTCTTTTTTTAATTCGGGAGAGGAGATATTTTTTGTTTGTTTCTTCTCGGTCATGCCTTTTCCGATGAAGATCCAACCGATTGATATCGATACTCGGACGGCGAGGGAACAGATTCGGACCGACTCGGCGAAGCCTGTGTTCAAATCGCGGCTGAGGAGGCTTTTCGATCGGCCGTTTCCGAGCGTTCTGAGAATTTCTGCGGTAGAGAAGCCTATTGTTGGGGAACCAGCTCAGTTTAGCAGCAAAGATGGAGGCGGAGGCGGAGGCGGAGGGGTAGGGACTGAGTTCGAGCCGACCTCTGTTTGCTTAGATAAGATGGTGCAAAATTTCATCGAGGATAGCAACGAGAAGCAACCGGCGGCCGTCAAGTATGGCCGCAATCGCTGCAATTGCTTCAACGCCAACAGTAATGACAGCTCCGATGACGAATTTGATGTGTTTGGGGGTTTCGGTGAATCGATCACCTCCGGATCTTCTGGTGGTGATGCATGTGACATGCTCAAGGTAAATGCCTCCACATTCTTCATTCCCAAATCTCCATTTCCTTTCTTGCTCATGCGAAGAATACCTTTAACTGAAATTCCAAATTTCGGAATTCGAGCTTTTCCACAGTTTATTTGACAAACCAAACGACATTTTGTTACAGAGTTTAATTCCTTGCGCGAGCGTTACGGAGAGAAACCTTCTAGCAGACGCTTCGAAGATCGTCGAGAAGCATAACAAAATTCACAAACGAAAAGACGATTTGCGCAGAATCGTAACTGATGGCCTCTCTTCTCTCGGTTACAATTCCTCCATCTGCAGGTCCAAATGGGACAAATCCCCCTCTTTCCCAGCTGGTACACACTCTGAACCCTAATTTTCTTAGACGAATTTTCAATTTTCGATTTTCAATTTCCTGAATCCGATTTCAATTTCTGTTTTACAGGTGAATACGAATACGTGGATGTGTTTGTGGATGGAGAAAGATTGCTGATAGACATCGATTTCAGGTCCGAATTCGAGATAGCTCGTTCGACAGGAACGTACAAGGCGATTCTCCAGACGCTGCCTTGCGTCTTCGTCGGAAAATCGGATCGTCTCAGACAAATTGTTTCTATCGTATCGGAAGCCGCGAGACAGAGCTTGAAGAAGAAAGGTATGCACTTTCCGCCATGGCGGAAGGCCGAGTACGCGCTAGCGAAATGGCTCTCTCCTCCCACCAGAGCCGGCGATTCCCCCACCAAGGCTCCTCCAGAGCAGCCCCAACCCGAAGAAATCGAACCCCAAATCCACAACGATTCGCTCGTAACAGACACCGATTGTGGAGAATTCGAGTTGATCTTTGGCGAGGATGAGGAATCGGCGCCGAGCAACACCGTCCCCGGCGATCCCGAATCGCCGTCTTCGACGTCTTCAAGTTCCGGTCAAAATAAACGGCCGACGGGAACTGCTTCCCCGTGGCAACCCCCTGCGATCAAGCCAAAGAGCATGGATAAAGGAGCTAAGATAGTCACCGGATTAGCTTCCCTTCTCAAAGAGAAATCGTGAGGAAAAAAAAAAGTTTTGGATTTTTTTCCCTTTTTTTCTTTTTAACTTTCAGGATTAAAAAATATATATATGAACATAAAAAAATTATAATATATATTCCGATAAATACCTCATAATTTTAATTTTTGGCTCATTTGTTCGCTTTCGATTTTGTGTTAAAATAATGGCAAAACTGAAAAGAAGAAAAAATACATATTTGTTATTAAATATTAAACAAATAGAAATCAGAAATGTGTTGGTTTCCTGGAAGGGAAACAATATCCATTTACGGCAACGTTAGCCTTTTGCAATCTTGAAAAAAGAAATTAAAAAAATTCACATTTTTTAAGTTTTAAGCACACCATTTGAAAATTGTAAATAAGAGATGTTAAGGGGAAGTTTTGGAATAAAGTGAAAAGTTGGGGGGTAGAGGAGAATGGATGACGGCAGTCATCGTGGAGTCTCGAAGGGCGTGACGGTAAATGAACTCATTAGAACGGCGTGATATTCTCTCCCCTCTATCCTCGCGTTTCAGCTCTAATTAATTTAACTGCCCATCTTTCCGCCGTTTTGACCGTTTTACCCCTCCCTATTTCGAAAATCTTAAAAGTTCTGCCACTACTTTTTTTTTTCTTTATTTATTTAAATAAGGAAATCGAATTTGAATAATTGAAGTGCAGATTGCAGAAGCGGATCGGGTATCTTTTTTCTTTTTTATTTATTTTAATGGAAGGAAATAATTTGAAATTAAAAAAAAAAAGATGGGGGAAAAAGGAAGGGTTATAATGTCATATCATTGTATGTTATACTTTTGAGGGGAGTGGGTAGGGTCGGTTACTAAAGAGCTGAGAAGACAAGAACTATTTAAAGAAGGTGTGGGGTCCTTTATTTTCTTTTCTTTTTTTCTTTCTTAATAAATTTTTTCTTCTTTAATAATAATAATAATAATCATTATTATTATTGTACACTGCTGAAAGCAACCTTCCACCTACTACTTTTATTTTTTAAAAAAACTTTTTAAAATTTGGAGGTTGCTTGGGAAGGTGTAAACTTGATTTTTATCTATTCTCCTGAGCCACACGATATAAATAAATTAATTAGATTAAAATGTAAGAGAGAGGGATAAGGTGCAGGTGTCCTTTTAGTAATTTCCCTGTTCTTCTTTTTTTTTTTTAGCACGTGGATTATTTATTCCTTGGAATATGCTTTCTGGCTTTACTTTTATTTTTTCTGGTATATTTATATATTTTAAAATTTTAGTGGACACACTCCAAATATTTTACTAAGAAAGTGGGGGGAAAATTCGAAATTTTGTCGATCCCAAAAAAGTGATTAATCCAACAAAATTGTATTGACTCGGTACAATTTGGGTTGGTACTTTTTAAGTATATATGAGTTTGGCTGAGTTAACCCAAAAAAATATATATATATATTATTTTGAGTCGAAGTAGTTTGGTTGGAATTACTGCTTGAATTATATACATTTTTCTCGAACCTACCATGACTGATCAAATTTGAAAAATGAGATGCGGAATACTACTAAAAGTTTTCCAAACCTTTGTAGATTTTTCTTTTTCCTTTTTTAATTACAGAACGTGGTATCGAACCATCGACCTTTAAAATAGTATTAAGATATCTTATCTATTTGAGCTATACTTGTTATTTTTGAAGTTGTTTCAAGTTTATTGATATAATGTAAACATTGGTTATAATTTTTTTTTTGTATATAATAATAATTTATAGTTCTTTTATACAAAATTAGTAATATTTATAATTGTTTTTAAAATTTACAAGAACACAGCAAGACACTTCAAAGTGTCGAAACACTCTTAAATCTTTTCATGTCTAAAACACTTAAACCGTGTCGATCTCCATAAATTTTCAAAACAACTGGACAATACTACTTCTCATGCATTTATTTATTTATTTTGTATTACTTGAGGATATAGTAAAAATTCATTTGGAAATAGGGATGATAGAATAGGAATAAAAAATTCCCCATATAAAGCAGGTATAGTTGAGAAAAAAAAATGCACATATTGCATTTTACTCACCTAATTAGATCTCTAGTTATGGTTCTAAAAGAAATCATCACCTATGTTAGATTCTTTGTTGCTAATACCAATTACCAAGCACATGAAAATTTTCTTCATTAATCAATTTTTCTTATAAGTCATATTCTTTCGGATCTGATGTAAAAAAAAAGAAAAAAAAAATTATATATATATATATATATATATATATATATATATATATACCCATATAGATTCGTTGTGATTCATGCAATATATGAAGGATGCAGAATTGGGATGCCAAAATAGGCCATGAAGCTGCATACGATTATTCATTTATTCTTTTTATGCTATATAGAAAATGTTTACAAAAATTGACATATTATTATTACTATTATTATTTCAAAATCATTACGGTAGATGGAATTGTGTTGATATTATCTGAAGCATTTATTTTAGAATAAAGTAATAATAAACATGTTGGTACTTGGTTATGTAAAAATAAAATAAATAATAATAATAAGGAGATGGGCTCCTCAGAGTTTCGGCCTTATCCGATTATGATTGGACATGTCGGCCCAAACGTACTCTATATTCAAAGTGGTTATCCCTTTGAGTTTGGACTTTTCACTTCTCAAGTCGCTGTGCGACATGTGGTCCCTTAATCTTTTTTTTTAATTAAATTTTATTGTTTTTACTTTTTCTTTTCATATCTTTATTGTTACATTTTCTGTTGACACGTGTCCCCTTCTAATTTCATATATATTTTTTAATAAACGTTTTTATTCACAAATACGAAAATAAACGCGTTCAAATAGCTCGACAGTTAGCATGAAATGTCTTCGTAGAAGCTATAAAAAGGTGGGAAAAGATATATTCATATGTGAATTTTAGTTACATCAAACAGCTTCAATTTTCACTTTATTTTTTTAAAACAAAATTTATGCTTTTGGTACTGTTTTTTAATTATTAATTAATGAAATTTGCTATATTTTTCCATTGACCTGAAAAGTGTTCTTTGTGAAGAAAGTTTTCATAAATGCCCTTTCTCTAACTTACTACTAAAAGGGAAAAAAACAAAAAAAACCTCTTTAATTTGTACATAATTTTGAGTATTATCATTCCAAATGTCATGGTTCAATCTCTCACCTTATAATTATTGAACTATAAAAAATATTTGCAATCAAATTAATATAAAATTTTAAACTTAAATAAACTGCAGTTGAGGATAATATCGAAAATTATTGTGAATGAAAGGGCATATCCGGTAAATTCTGCATCGGAGCATGGTTTGGGTTACTTCCGAAGCCCATTAATTTGGGCCTTACAAAAATAGGTTCATGAATTGGGCCTCCGTATATTTATGGGCCCTTCGCGGTCCACTCATTAATCTTGGTGGGTGGCGGGTGGATTCATTCTGCTGTATCGATGCCCTAAATTTGATTTCCAGCTTCCGATTTGTTACCGGACCGGATCTCGTCGGATCGCCGTTGCCGAATCCGTCGAAGTTCAGTGGCAACAAAACGGGCGATGCAGAAGAGAGAGCAGAGCAAGTTGGGCGGAAATGTTGGTGGTGGCTCCGCGCCTCCGGCGAAGCGCGGCCGTCCATTCGGCAGTTCGAGCAGCAACGCCGCCGCTGCAGCCGCTGCCGAGACCTTGGCTCCATCGGCACACCTTGGCCCTTCTCTCCATGTTCATACTTCCTTCGCAGGTCAGTTAATTTCAGCCCTTTTCTTTTCTATTCATACTTTGCGGAAAATAAGCCGGAAGTTAAGTCTTCAATTTTGTAGTTCGAGACGATTCTTTGATTAAGTTCCTTTTTCTATCCCTAAAATTGATCGCTCGAGCAGATCAAAACAATAAAAGGATAGTGTTGGCTCTACAGAGTGGATTGAAGAGTGAATTGACGTGGGCATTGAACACTCTCACTCTGCTCTCCTTCAAAGAGAAGGATGATATGCGCAAAGACTCTACTCCCCTGGCTAAAATTCCCGGCCTTCTTGATGCTCTTCTACAAGTTGTATGTATTACATAACCCCTCTTAGTCATTTTCTAGCGCCTTCTGTTACTATGAACATATGATATCGAGCATCCTATTGGGGGATTTTATTGTCCTACTGTGTTCCATTTTTCTCATAGTATATAATTTTGAAAGTGGCAAAATTAGAATTGTGATTGTAATTGTTCGAGTGTTCAAGTAAATCCCGAGATAAAGGATATTATGATGTTACGTCAAGCAGATCGATGACTGGCGTGATATAGCGCTTCCAAGGGATCTTGTAAAGAAGCCAAGGGTGAGAACATTAGGTGCAAATTCTTCTGTAACGGGATTTGGGAATGAATTTGAGGCATTGGGCTCGAACGGGTATGTGTAAAATGATTATTTGCTATTGTTTCATTTGTTCTCAATGTATTACATTGCATTGTTTACTGAATATTAATTCTAAATAGAGCATAAATTTTGCCTGGCAGCCTGAGACCTGGTTCTTCAGTTCCAGAGACAATGAGTCATGCTCCGAAACCATCTCCTCGACATTGGTGGCTTGATGAAGATGGTCTATTTAATCTGGATGACGAAGGACGAGCAGAAAGACAGCAGTGTGCTGTTTCTGCCTCAAATATCATTCGAAACTTTTCTTTCATGCCAGAGAATGAAGTTATTATGGCCCAACATCGACATACTTTGGAAACAGTGTTTCAGTGTATAGAAGATCATATTACAGGTGAGAAGTTTATAAGTTTATGACCCTATGAGCAGTGCTTTTAGAGTTTGACGACATGTCCCTTTGCATAGGAATATATGATGAAAGAGTTTCATGTAGACAATTTCGTTTCATCAGCATAGAATGTCGCGTTTGAAGTCTTAAGTGTTTACACGTGTACTGTTGTCTAGAATACGTCTGAAAGCTCTAATTGTTGACAGAGGATGAGGAACTTGTCACAAACACCCTAGAGACAATTGTGAATTTAGCTCCGTTGCTAGATCTTCGTATCTTTAGCTCATCGAAACCATCCTACATCAAAATAACGTAAGAACTTTGATCTACTATGATCTTTTAGGCTCATCTGATTGCTGATTTCATGCTAATAATTGTGCTTCATATTTTTTACCAGTGAGAAACGAGCAGGTGAAGCCATCATGGGAATGCTGGGATCCTCTGTCAAAGTTTGGCACTGTGCTGCCGCAGAATTACTTGGACGATTAATAATAAATCCTGATAATGAGCCTTTCCTTCTTCCCTTTGTTCCCCAGGTCTGTCTCCGGTAAACCCATATAGCTCACTATCTTCTTTTCCATCATGATGCATGCCAGACCATAACAAGGTTTTATTGAATTCTATTAGATACACAAGCGTTTAGTCGACCTTATGAGCATCCCAGCATTAGATGCACAAGCAGCAGCTGTTGGTGCACTGTATAACCTCGTCGAAGTTAACATGGACTGCAGAATAAAGCTAGCAAGTGAGCGATGGTAATTATCGACTTCTTTATAAAGAGCCATATAAACCTCTAGTTCTTTCCTAAATATTTTTGCTGTTTTCTCCTCATCCTTCAACTTAGGGCAATCGACCGGCTTCTTAAAGTAATCAAGACACCTCATCCAGTTCCAGAAATATGCAGGAAGGCCGCAATGATATTGGAGAGTCTTGTATCTGAGCCGCAGAACAGGGCTCTACTTCTAGTATACGAAAATGCATTTGCAGAAATACTCTTTTCAGATGGCAGATATTCTGATACGTTTGCGAGGATATTGTATGAACTAACATCGAGACCTAACAATAAAGTTGCTGCTGCTCAAGGAGTATGGGGCATGTGATCTGTAGTACCCTACCATCAATCGTTGTATTCATCTATGATCGAGATGACTAGTACTCAGCTACCGAATCAAGTGAAGAACTCGAACTTCATCATTACTATAAAATGTAAATATTAGCTTATTGGGGTATCAAATTCGAGCTATTGCACCTGCGGAGTCCGTATTTCTCAGTCATTTGTACTGCTCATTTTGTAATTTGTTTCTATTTTCATGCTAGAGTGCTCAATATCTATGGTTGATTGCTAACATTGATATGTGAAATATCATTTATAACTGGACCACTTAGTGTAGGTAGGATTTGTAATTTTTAACATTGACATTAGGGGTATAAATTTTAATAAAATAGGTCATTTTTATAGTAATTTTTTCATGGTTATTTTTATAGATCTTGTATAAAAACTATTTCCTGGAATCTCGTAAATCATATTTTTTTTGATATCTATAAGTTGACTGTTTACACATCCTCTTTTTGTCTTTGCTTACGGAAAAGGGCAGACAAATGGTAATGGTTGGAACTTGTCATTATCGCCTTGAGATTTGCATGTGGAACATATAAAGTAGGTTTACATTTATCAACTTTATCAACTTCTAAATGTATTCTATTTTGGTATGTATATTTCAAATTGTGTTGGTTTGGTGGTTGAACTATTATAAAAATCTACTCTTTGTTTGTTTTTTTGTTTTTTTTTTGTTTTTCTATATATTTGGATTAACTTACGTGAATTTATTAATAAATTATAGAAATTAGAAGACAACTGAACTAAATGACATTAAAATTTTCTACTAAAAAAATAATGCAGGTTCTCTTTTTTATGTCTTGACTTGATATTCAACCTTCCCAGCGAACTTATTTTTGTTGTTTCGAAAGAGTTTCTTTCAACTACAATATGAACAAGTTGGCCTACAATATGACGGTCAAATCTGTGAAGGAGTTTTTTACGATTATGTATATTTTTCACTATCTTTTTTGGCTGGTGTTATTAGCTGAGCTATAAATTATCCATGTAGCATGATTTTAGTGAGAGTAAAAAAGGGAACCATAAAAGAGTATAACAATCTAAAGTAAAAAATAAAACAATGGGTCCAGAAATTGACTGAATATCACACTTCCTTCTTTTCTTTTTTTAAGAAAAACAACCATAAGCTACTAATATGAACAACAAAGACAGAGAACATTAATATTTAAAAAAGAAAAAAAAAAGTTGCCCATATTAACTAAAGTTGGGTATCCACTTTAATCAATTCATTTAACCAACAATAATGGCCTCCCTCAAAAGAATTATTTAGAAATTAGTATCAACGGCCTCAATGGGGGCCACTTTGGGGACCTCAACAGGGAACTGATGAATCTCGTCCATCCAAGGGTTCTTCTCGTTGGCCGGATCGACGGTCCTGAGGGCCCGCCAGACGGCGCTGTTGCACTTGAAACCCGACCCGAAAGCAATCTGCCAGGTCCGATCCCCTTTCCGGATCCTGCCCTTGGCCTCGGCGTAGGCCAATTCGTACCACAGAGAACTGCTCGAAGTGTTCCCAAATCTGTTGAGCGTCATTCTCGATGGCTCCATGTGCCACTCGCTCAGATCCAAATTCTTCTCCAATTCGTCGAGCACCGCCCTCCCCCCGGCGTGGATGCAGAAATGCTCGAACGCCAGCTTGAAATCCGGGATGTACGGCTTTATTTTCTTCATCTTCAGGATCTTCTTCGCCACCAGCGTCGCGAAGAACAGCAGCTGCTCCGACATCGGCAGCACCAGCGGGCCCAGCGTCGTGATGTTCGTCTTCAGCGCCTCGCCGGCCACCGCCATCAGATCCTTCGACAGCCGCACCCCCACGCGCTCCGTCTCGTCCTCCTGCTGGAACACGCAGTTGTAGCACTTGTCGTCCGCGCCCTTGTGGGTCCGCACCGTGTGGATCAGTTGGTACTTGGACCGCCGCCGGTCGCCCGGCCGGTTCGACAGCAGGATGGCCGCGCCGCCCATCCGGAACAGGCAATTCGACACCAGCATCGACCGGTCGTTGCCGAAGTACCAATTCAGAGTGATGTTCTCCATGCTCACCACTAGGGCATAAGAATTTGGGTGCACCTGTTTTTTCAATTCAAAAGTTAATAAAAATAAATGATTCATTTGTAATTAATTGATTAAATGCTGATTTATTCATTTATAAGAATGTGAATTACCTCCCATTACTTAAAATCATTTACGAGAGAGTGATTAAGATTTTCTATCTTTAAACTCGTTATATATATATAGAAATTATATGTCCGACATTAATTGAAACTTGTATTGGCGAAAAGAGCACGCTAAATCTAGCAAAAAATAAATGGCTCTTTATTCCTCATTAAAAAAAAAGGTAAATAAAACACTGGACGGCGTAAAGTTCTTTAAGGCACCCACCCAACGTTAGTAAATTTTGTGTACAACTTTGACCTTCAGACTCATTAATTATATGAACTTTTCAAAATAATAATAATAATAATAATATTATTATTATTATTATTATTATTAAGAAAAATATGAGATATTTAAAGAAAAAATCACAGCGGCAAATATCTTAGTAATTTTACTTCTCATTTCGTTCATGGAAAACTCAAATAAATTAACACAAACACAAAATAAAAAAGTTACCTTTTTTCCACAAATAGTTTTAAATACTTTTTTTCCTTAATTTTTTTTTAAAATTAACTCCAATCTTCCAAAAAAAAAAGTAGAAAAAAAAATATGTTTTGCAAAGAGAAAGGAATAATACTCCTCGGTCTCTCTTAATTATCAATTTTAAATAAAACTTGTAGTAAGTATCTATTACTTGCCACCCTAAAAAAATGACAACTAAAAGGTCATAAATGCAGATAGAAGATGAAGAGAAACTATGATAAATAGCTACAAATTTTTTTAGAAAATATTCGGTCGTGATTGGTTATGACCTATTTCTACGCTTAACCTCATAAAAAAATTGACCATTTTTAAATTTTTTTTAATATTTTTATCGCTTAGTTTCAAACATTAAATTTAATAAGGGTCTTTTAATGGGGGAAAATACTTGCTCTAAGGAGGGATCTTGTCCATCCGACCGTTAAATATTTGACAACTAGTATAAAAACAAAAAAGTGTTTTCAAGAAGTAACAAGTCGTCAAATATTTAATAATGGTTGTATCGGTGAGGTGCTATGAAACGTAAATTTGATCGACTAGTGAGGGAGAGAGAAGAGGGAAACCTGCAAGAGTTGCTTAGCAAGATCAATGGAGATGAGGCCAGCGCTGCAGCCCATGCCACCAAGATTATAGCTCAGAACATTCCCTCTAAGCTTATAATGGTTGACAATCATGGCGGACAGAGACGGCGTGGGATTAAACAAGCTACAATTCACCACCAGAATCCCAATGTCCTTAGCCTTCACTCCCGTCTTCCCGAGCAGCTCATCAATGGCGCCGAACATCACCTCCTCCGCCTCCTTCCGCGCCTCCGCCATACAAGGATTCGGCGGCACCCGCATCA